GTTTTTTTTTAACGAGGGAAAGAAGTAGGTTTCAGGAATCTAAGGTAGGAAAATAATTAGCTTTATATAAAAGCTGAGCTAGCTGCTGAAAAAAATCAGTACCACTGTGGAGATTAGATGGTCCTGGGTGATGGAACAAGCCAAAGAAATACTAGTGCCAGCTCCCACTGAGATGGAGTGGTCACAGTTGCTTCAGCATAAGAGCATCCTGCCCCCAGCAAGCTTCCCATGCTGCCCCCCACTCTTCCTCCTTCCCTGGCCCCCTTGGTAGGGGACGAGGAGCTGGGCTGGATGGAGGAAGGTTTCTTTCCTCAGCCGTACTGTTGGCTTCCCAGGGCCATATCTACCTAGCAAAAATGAAAGCAGCTTCTTGCATCAGGAGTGGAGGGTGAGGAATCGAGCCCAGCCCTTTTGCAGAAGTGGGAGCAGACAAGTGCAATGCAAATTATAGACAGAGTTGGACTATAGGTAAAGGGCCTTTCTCTTACGGGTTACAAGCTTGGATTTACAAGCTAAAGGGGTGAGGCTGTTTTGGGGAAAGGATAGGGGCCCATCAGGCAGACAGAGCCCATCTCCTCCTTTATATTTTGGCTTCCTTTGAAGAATTTCAGGTTTGCCTGTAGCTGCCTTTGCTGGCCGTTTGCACCAAGCCAGGTTTGCACTGAGGGGAAGAAGTAGCAGACAGTCTCACAGGCTCAGCTCCCAGTGCTGCTAGCCCCGCCGTGGGAGGTGGTGGTACCCTAAATCATACGAACAGGTTCTCCAAGGACTGACCCCCTCATCACAGTCTTCACTAAATTACACCTTCCACATATTTGTCAAACTTGCAAACAAATTAAAAGCAAATACCTGAGGAAAAACTTCAACGATGCTACCGAGCTATCTCCCAGGATGCTATAACAAATATATGGAAGGCAGCAGGGGTAGTCCTTAAAATATTTTTTAGATATCAAGGATCTGGAAGCGAGGAGGAGAACTTTGCAATGGTTGCACTTTGCGAGTGCAGCATGCAGGCAATTGCCTCTGTTGAGACCCTCGTTTCTCTAGTTCACCGTGAGCTCCTATCTAAGCCAGGGGCTAGGCAAAGCTTTTACTACTCAGGCCTCCAGGTGTATGTGTTTTAATGAAGAGGTGTAGCTGTAAAGGTGAACAAGTCTCTAGGAGGGTGCGGTTTGGGGGGGTTTTGTGTACTTCAATTATTTCAAGTATTTTAATGGTACCATCTTACATTACCTGGGTAATCCTGAACTATAGCATTTCACGGGCAACGAGAATTAAATGCAGTTTACATACAGTTGACTAAAGGGGGCTTCTAAATGTGTGTGGATTACAGGAATCCCCATAATTAGTCCCACAGTATTCACTTAATGTTGGAATATTGAAGCACACAAATTAGGAAGGTTAAAAGCAAAATTTCTTTCCAGCTGGCATGGTGGCATTTCTGTAAAGCTATAATTTGAGTTAATATGGCATTCATTAATAATAATGAAGCTTTTAGTTTTCATAGCTCCTTTATTTATTTTCTTTATGTTTTTCACAGTAACATAACTGCTGTCAAGTTTCAGGTGTGTTCTACAGAAGTAATAAATTTATTATAAAAACAGGCCAAAAGAGCCACCTCTGAAGTAAACTGTCAGCTGCGATGAAGTGATCCATTTGATCACGCTCTTCAAAGACCCTTTTTATGCATTTTTAACAGATTAAGAAGAAAGGTTATACTTAAATAGTATATCCAGTCACTGGTTCTTAACTCTTTTTAACCTGCTTGTTAAAGTGGAAATTATCAATAGCCACCTCTCAAAACACATTCCTCGCACCTCACCAAATCCGAACTCTAGAAAATGGAAATGTAATTTTAAAATTACTCGTTCTCAGTAAGAGCAATTACGTGTTCGCTTCAGGATGTGTTCTGCTGTCAGTATCGCGGCTAGTTAAAAAGCGTATTTTTTATTGCAACTGACATCTTTACTTTTTTTGCCTTGTAAAATAAGCAACAGAAATATTTCGCTTTTTCAGGGGAGCAAGCAGTTGCTGAACAACTACCCTGTCTACATCACTAGTAAACAGTGGGATGAGGCTGTAAATTCTTCCAAGAAAGATGGACGACGGCTCCTTCGCTATCTCATCAGATTTGTTTTCACAACCGATGAGCTTAAGTACTCATGCGGCCTTGGAAAAAGGAAAAGGTCAGTGCAGTCAGGAGAGACAGGTCCTGAAAGACGTCCTCTGGATCCAGTAAAAGTAACATGTCTCAGAGGTACTGCATCTTTTCGCTCAGTGTCCACCATATGTGATCTCATTTCACCACATTGGCTCTGGCTCAGTAGAAGCATTTGGCTGACAGTTGCAGGACTAGAAGGGGTTTCACAGGCAGGTGGCGAGCAGTCAGAAACCCTCTGCTTTTTTTTTTTTTATACATACATATATATGTATGTATGTATGTATGTATGTATTATATGCGGGTTTGGTTTTTTTTTTGAATGGGGGGAAAAAAAAGAGGGCTGCTTATTTAAGAGGAAACAAATGCAAGGGCACATGACACTGATATATTTGAAACAGGAAAGAAGGAAAATCAGACAATCCTGATTACACTTTTATAATAAACTAACAGGGCATTTTTTAATGCTGATATACAGCAGAATTAACCAAAGGAATATTTATAGCCTAATGTGTAGTGAGCATACGGCGCTCAAGGCCCCAGTGCACCATTGGAGTTCAAAGCTAACCCAGTTTCAGAACGGGCTTGAACATTCTGTGGGGTCAAGGACATCTACAGGTTAATGACATACAAAGTATATACAAATGCATTGTCAAGGATTTAACTTTTTTGGAGTACTGAGGCAACGTTGACTGAAAAAGCTAAGGAACAACTTCCCCTGTGTTTAGCCTGAAAAGGAGGGGGAGTTTTGCAAGCATTTCCCAGTGTCAGAGAGCGAGGATGTTGGAGAATGCAGAGAAAGGGTCCAGGTTAAGAATTATCTTGTTGTAGCAGTTCATACTTCGGTTTCCTAAAATTGCTCAAAAGGCCTGGTACTGGGCTTTATAACGAAACGTACAAACCAGAACTTTTTAAAGCCCCATTACAAATGTGTGTGTAGTATCAGCATCTGCATTTTATAAATGCATATGCTTGTAATTTCTTTAATTAACTCACATAGTTAACTTTATAGTATTTTGTGAGCGCGTACATGAAATTTTGGTTGAACTGACTTCCAAGAATGTTTCACTAATCAACGCAGTGTAAAAAGCTGTATTTTGGTCAGTCAGTGATAAAGTAACTTTAGTCGTGCAGCTGGAGTCCAAAGTGGTTATATACATCAGACAGAGCCTCTTCCCATCTAGGGTAGAAGAATCCAACAAGGCCAAGTAGATAAGACTCATAGCTAGGCTACATTGATGTAACCAGGTAATGAACTCAGATTTTACATACAGCCAAATTAGGCAAAAAGACTTTTTTTCTTTTTACTACAAAGGAACCTGTTAACCTGTTATATGACACTTCAGCAGATCTTATGCTCTGTCAGAGCTTAATAGAAAGGCAAGTCCGTTGCACACCAGGCTGCACAGAGGTCTGCAGTGAGATTCAGGGTCCCAGAAGTTCTTCTGGAAACTGAAGGCTGAATACAAGCGCATTAATCATTTACTAAATGACTTTAAATTTCACCTAATAATTTATGCACAAGTAGAGTGTTGATACCCTTTTCTTCCCTTTTCTTCCCCCTGCCTCCTACCAAGACTAACAGTAAATCTACCTGTAGATTCACTTTTGCTTACGGCCACTCTCCGTTCTGGGGTCCTGGACGTAAAGAACTTGTGGAGTGCTCCTTGGGAGAAAGAGAAAGGCCAGTTTCCTTAATTTTCAGAAGCTTGAAGAGGAAGCCAAAACATTCAGTATCTAAGGACCAGCTAAGCAAGTAGAGTAGACAGCTCTCCCTTTGGGCTTTCATGCATGGGTGGGAACATGAAAACTTTCTCCGGTGCCAGGAGTTGGTCACTGGCTCCTACCCATTTGCAAGCCAAGGTAACAAGTGTCTTACTAATTCTCAGCACATCCAATTATGCATTCCCACCATAGCAGGGAGTACAAACTACTGCTCTCTCTGCACTCAAGAGTAGTTTAAACATCTATAAACATTTTTAACACATTCCTACAACCGACTGATGTCTGGAACCACCTTTAAAACAGCCTGGCATGCTTAAATTACAGCATTACTCCTTTACGTGGTAACCATTTCTCTGAGAAAAACACCAGTCTGTGGAGCCCCACGTGAGCATAACTAGGTAGGAATTACTGTTGCCTGTGTGGATTTCCAGGGAAATGAATTTAAAACCGAGATAGCTATCACTTTTGCAGACACGCTGCCGGAGGAGCTATGCAAAAAATCACGTCCTAATTGTCCAACAGATGAGATACCTTGCAGGCACGGGAACTCACGTAAAAGCACAGCATTCCCCGGTCTCAAGATGTGGTGACAGTAATGAAGTTACCTTATGCCACTTACTGTGCTCTTGGCTTGTCAACAGTAGAAAATACAATTTAAAAATATCCTGGGACACACAATACTGCATGAGGGAATAACTAATGTTACAGAATAAATAAGAAGCTCAGTTTCCATATGAGGTACAGTGTATCCAAGACATCTAATAAGGTGCTCTCACATTTAAAATCGTATTTGGATGTTTCAAAGTCCAAATACACCTATTTGAGCTATGTCTAGCAGTTACAGCTCTGGAATTGGAAAGGCGCCTTCTGCAAGTTTAGCATATTGCATCTCAAAGAATCCAAAAAGGAAATTATAAAAAAATGTAATCATCACATACAAATAGCTGTATGTGGAAGCAGCAGCTACGTAAATAGCCAAATTACATGCAGTGCAATTCATTTTCTCCTGCATTGAAAACTATTGCAAGGCTCCCCAGATTAGCCCTCTCATCTCATTTAGCTGTTTCTAAGGCCAATTTAGTCTCTGAAAAATAGGTGTCAGGTTCGGGAAGATGGAAAGAGCAGGACTTAAAAATGAAAGATATTCCAAACAGAAAGGAGCACCGAACTGAAATAACGGCAGTGACATTTTCAAGCAGGTCGTGGGCTGCTGCAGCCTGCAGAAGTTGAAGCAGCCAGCAGAGGGAGATGATAAAGACCCACGAGAGTAGATCACCTTAAGGTATAAACACACAACAGGTTTCACAACTGAAGTACAGCCCGGTTCATGTTAACTTTCACATGTATTGCACACGCTGAATCGCAGCCGTCGCTTCAAATTAGTTCTTTTTCTTTCCACAAGGAGGGAGTCCCATGCGTGACGTAATTAGCTCAGGTATAGCAACAGACACTGCATGTGGAGAAACACGCTCGTACAGAAATACACTGGGTCCAAGTGGCATTATCATGGCATCCCCCATAAGGCTTTACTTCTGCTTAAGTAGAGCAGTAATGCCCCCTTTCTTGTTTCCCATGAGCTTTTGATGCCTGGGCGATAACGGATGCAGCAAAGACAAGTTGGATTTTTTTTATCCTTGCATGTTTTCCTGCAGAGTTCATTAGGATGCACTGTACTTCCAACCCGGACTGGTGGATGCCATCCGAAGAGCAAATAAACAAGGTATTCAGTGACGCAGTAGGACATGCTCGTCAAGGGCGTGCGGTGGGGACTTTCCTTCACAACGGGAACTCGTATTACGAAGGGACTGACCATCCAGGATCACAGGATGAAGTCTTCAATAGAGGTATGCAAGACGGATCTGGCGATTGATGGCAGTGAGAACCACCTCATACAACAGTAGCAATCACTTAATTTAGGAGAGACTATTTGTTAAACATACTTACCTGCTGTCATTTAAGAGTCCAAAGCATGTTTGAACACATACTGCATACATCTCAGCTTCTCCATCCTACCATGTCCCAGTTAACAGAAAGAAATCCATTTCAAGACCTGCTCTATGGGACTTCTCAGTGCCTATTATTTGCAAATCCTTTACAGCACCCTCAAAGGGAAATTGCAGTTCATTTCATCTAGTTCTAGAGGAAAGGTCATTTAAAAACTATAAAAACGTCAAAAGAAACAGCAGCTACTATCTCGTCTGCCTATTGATAACAAACCCAGGTCTGGACCCAGAACAGCTGCGTACTATTTGCTTTCCCCAAGTAGGAGATGTAAGAACAAATCTCCACACTTATAACAAAAAAAAAAAAAAAAAAGTGGTCTCCCATCTCCTAACAGAAAATAACGTAATTATAAATGCTACCTTAAGATAGTGCACAAGATGGAAAATTCAGGGACTTCCTTTAGCCAACTCTGCCAGGAAATTAAGCTTCCTGGGTAAGACAGCAGCGCTCAGCAGCAGCAGAATCCTTCAAAGACCCAGAACAATAACAGGCACTTCTAATAGATAAAAATTGCTTTGTATATCAGATAGACACTATATTTATCTAGATTTCTAGGGGATTAGAGTTGATCATGACAGTTTTCATTAAAACAAGATTGCTAAAAACAAATTGCCATTTCAGAAGATAGGTTTTGCTTTGTCTGTTCCTATTCTGTAGCCGTATTATGTAGCTTTAGAGGCTTTAAATTGCCTTTTCTTGGTTTTGCTTTTATTTGTGTTTTATATCCATTCCTTGAAATAGATGAGGCAATGTGCTGGTCTGAACAGTCAAATGCTCAGTGTTGCATTCAGGGAGGGGTTGGGTAAGAAAAGCCTAGTTTAACCTTCTGTTCTAAGTAAACATGGGGTCCAGACTAACTAAGAGCTGTAAGAAGAGCGCAGAACATTGAAGCAGGTACCCACTTTAAAAAAAAAAAAAAAAAAAAAGTCTACCAAAACCCTTTAATTTAAAAGGCTTAGGAGTCCGTTGTCCCTCCAAATTGATGCACTCCCGAAATATGCAATGCCAAAGAAACAATACCCTTTCCTTCCCGCATCAGGGTGTTTCCATCTCCTTACCCTTGTCCAGTCGCTCAGGCCAGTGCTGGTGTCCTTCACAGCCTGAACCAGCTTTCCTTGAGGCAACATTTCCCCACCGGCAGGTACAGGGAACTGGTTTTCAGAAAGAAAGTTCACTTTGCTTTTGACCATCCTTAGTGCTACCTCATCAGCGTTGACTCTCCTGAACGCGTAATCTCATACTCCCCAGCTTTCCTAACCGCCTTGTGCAAGCCACGAGAGAAGCTACTAATTGCTCCTTTTACCCTTATCCTCATGTGCCGGGCAGGGCAGGGCAGGGGACACCCAACCCCTTCCTCGAGAATTGGGAAGGGCCCTCTGGGGTGAAGCGCTCCCCTGGCTCCGGCTTGACCGCTGGTGGAGGACTGAGGCGGTCTCTCAAAGGTCAGCTCGCCCACATGATAGTTTCTTCCCACCATTTGCCTCCTCTTTGCTGGCGGTTGTGATCAGTCTCTCACGGCCAGCCCATGGGGCGTCTTGGGACACGGGCTCCACCGTGTACCTCCACAGATAGGACCTCAGTTAGCCAGGATAGGCTTTAGGCCCTTAAATATCCAATACCTCTCGATTAATTTTATTTTTGGTGATTTTTAAAAAGGGGGTTGAAAGGCACTCTCTTGCCCCAGAATAACTCATTCATTTTCTAAAAATGGATGAGCAGTTCAGTCACACTGGACCTCACCAGGCTAAAGGGTTTGGGACAGCATCCCTCACTACAGGCAGGAGGCGACTTTGAGTGGTCAGTGGTGCGTGGTGGCCTCTGGAGGAGAAACTCAGTGTATAGAAATGTCACAGTACAGATATCCTATAGTAGCTTTTCAGTGTTGAACTTACACTTTTTTTAAAAGAACTATAATAGAAGATGTTACATTGCTCAGATGGTGTAAGTCTTGCTGGTCTATGTTTAATGTGGTAACACTTGCCAGAACTTCTTGGTAACACATGTCAGAACGTGCGAGTCAACATTATACTGTAAATTTGTCCATGGCGATACGTATCATGCTGTATTTTTGTAAACATTGTGATGGTTTCCTTTCAAATGTTTAATCGTATGAGGTTAAAAATATAAACGCTTCATTTTTAAGAGTCACAGGATTACTAGACTGGACAGACCTCTCTCACTTAACCGAAAGATTTGCCGAAATAACTAGTAAGCCTAGCTTTATTTTTAGTGTAAAAAGCATAGCCAGCATCCTGGAACCACTCACAATCTTCTGCTTTCATATTGTGCAAAATAACCAAATGCATAGTTTCATCCTGAAAGCCACTTTGGCACTAGAAACGGCTTTGCAGGTTTGGACCTTTCTTTATGAACAAAATTTTGCCCTCGGTTGCTTGTGTGCACTGGCCGGTGACGTGAATCATAGTCACAGACAGGCATCAGCAGACACCAGCTCGTCTTTTTTTGTTCATGTTTGGTTTTAAAATAACAGAGTACAACAGCTTTTCCCAGTTGTCTGTTTTTAATTGCCATCACGGCCACTTGACTCTTGACCCACCCATTCCATTTTAAAACAAAAAAAAAAATCCCAAACCTTTCGCAACAGCTTATTCCGACTAATTTGTTCATGAGGCATTACGAATTCATACACACTGAAGTGTCCAAATATCCACAAGGTGTTAGGTATAACAGTATGGGACCTGAAATAATGGATAGCGCTTAAGCCCTTGCCGAGCGAGATATCCGTATTTAAGCAGCGTGCTTTGGAAGTCAGCACATCCCTTCCCAGCGCTGGATGTAGACAGCAGGCTCGCGACAGAAGGGAAGCGCTATCTATCATGTCACTCCAGAAAGTCCCAGGAGGATAGAGATTCTTGTCTTATCCTTCCATACTCTTTAATCTTGCTGTCATTTATGTATCTGCCTTCTCTCAAACTTCGTGTAGCAGTACCGCACGCCCATCTGTGCCAACATGCCTTCGCTATATTTTCTATGACAAATATTTGTGGAGAAACTGTGATTAAAAAACCATTAATCCTGATATTTTTATTGTTATGGTGTAGTTAATTCTATGAATACTTTCTAATGATGATTGTACCGTGTAGAGTAAGTACAGGCTAGGGATAGACCTTTACCAGATATTGTACAAAAAAAAAGTGCATAGTGTAATATAGACTAGTAAGGGTTTTGTGACAATTTCTATAGGATGTGTGAATTGTTTTCTATGTGGCAACACACATTTCTTTTAAAGAATATAAAAATCTTAGAGAATTTTTTAAACAGTCAATATTTTTTAATTCTAAAGACATTTGTTACCTACAGTTTACTATTTCAGGTGTTAATTCTAATTTGAATATTGGTTTTATTACTACATACCTCCAGTTCCATTTGTTCTGTTGCATAAAAATGCACAATAAAAGTTAGTCTCTGGTTAACCTGTCTCTCTCTTTCTCTGTAGGCAGCGTTGTGTCGGTGTGACAGCCATCACAACTGGCTCTCACTATAAATATATATTAAAAGTTTTAGACTGATTTATAGAAAAGGCTAGAGGGTTGTCTTTTGCATTAAATGCTTGTTTAGTGTAAAGCACTGGCAAGCGCAGTGAAAGATTATGAAGAATTTAAGTATGAATATAACATAAATCATTTTCACCCCCAAATACAACCACATACATTTATGCGCTGGTTAGACAGAAGGAGAAAGTACCCATCTGGAATCTTAAGACCTGGATTTTCAAGCGGTGAAGTTTAAATCCCATTTTAATTCAAAATTCAGTGATGGCTGAATGTCTCCTGTTCTCTGAAACGCTTTAGAAAATCCTGACTCCAAATAATTTGTAGAGGAATTACGGTGACAAACATTCACCACGGCAAACCCCTCCTGCTAGGCTGTGAAGCAAGATGGGCCTGACCACCATCCATTAGAAATGGTTGCCAAACATTTCCATTATAAAACAACATTTCTGGGTGCCTGTAATGTTGCAAAACTAATGAGGGTTGGGCTGGCATTTTCTAGATCAGGGGCTTCAGCCTACTGGATTTTTTTTTTTTGTGAAAACCCTCATTAGTGACACCCTCACCAAAATAATTTCAGGGGATTCAGAGAAATGTAGGCATAAAAAACTGTGTTAATCCCTCTGAAAAAAAAAAAAATTATAATTAGCTTCTCTTTAGAAAGCTCTGACTTCCCAGACGTTTGGGGAATGACTTGAAATGTCAGAGGGTAGATCCAGAGGCAGGAATGAACGGGGATGGGCTGAACCAAGGGGGCGACGGGGCAGTACAGGATGGAAACCAGCAGGGAAGGAGAGCATGTGGGTAAGGAACCAGAAGCAGCAGTCAGGTTTTTGAAGCTTGGAAAGATCCCCAGAAAGATAAGGTCTAACAGCAGAGCCTATAAGAAGCTGATAAGCTTAAGAGGTAGCAACTGGGGCTGGGCAGGTGGAAAGAAGGGGTAAGGAGTGGGATGGGGGAGAACCAGGGCTGGGAAATAACTGCAGGGGAAAGGCAGCACAGCCGGGAGAGGGGTAAGTCAGGATGTCACATTTTATCACTCTTCTACTACATACCTGTTAAACATACTGGCAAGGCAGTAGGTTAAACCATGCTCCTGTTCTGCCACAGTGCTGGTCCCGCTGCTGACAGTTACGCCTTTGCTCAAGTACCAAGGTGCCCCTGAAGAGGACCTTTAAGGTCAAAGTCAACCACTGAATCTCATGCAGCGAAGGAATTTAGTTTTTACCTCCATTTGCTTAGAATGAGCTTATGTGCAAGCTCACATTATAAAAGTCTTGGTATTTTAGTAAGACTACTCGAGTTGCAGATCTAGCCCTCAGGAGCTCAGCTAGGCAGGGGTTCCCATTTTCTCTGCCACCTTGCCTCTGCCGAGGCACCCCTGTGACCAAAGCCAGCGGCAGGAGGAGCGTCAATAGGAAGCACTTCCATCTCAGTGAGGAGACTGAAACATCAGAGTCCCGGGGAGCACAGCATGAGGTGGCATATTTCAACCTTCAGCCCGCTGTGCACAAAACTGGGATAGTTCTACCTCTTCTTTCACAGGGGTTTTGTGGAGATTAGTGCTACTGAAGAACCAGAGCTTTAGTGAGAAGCACAGCAGAAAAGCCCTTGAAGACGATGATAAGCCTGCCTGCAGAGTAGTTCAAGTGCACACAGTGCATAAAACCAGGCCACAGACCAAATGATGAGGAAAAAACAAAATACCACATCCCTGCTGAAGAAGCAGCATCCTCCTGCAGGAGGCTGGGGTGCAGGGCAACAGCAGCATTGTAGAGCAGACAGAGGACTCCCTGGAACAAGGAGACCGAGTTACATTTGCAGTATTAAATTTTGCTCTCTCCCAACATCTGGAGTCCTTAAGATACTGCCTTCGCAATGTTCTCCTAGCTTTGCAATCAACTAGCTCACACAGCATGGACAACACCACAAGACGAGCACTGAGTTTACTCTGAGGGTGACGGAGCACTGGAACAGGCTGCCCAGGGGGGTTGTGGAGTCTCCTTCTCTGGCGATATTCAAAGCCTGCCTGAACGAAGTCCTATGTAGCATGCTCTAGGAGAACCTGCTTTAGCAGGGGGGTTGGACTAGATGATCTCCTGAGGTCCCTTCCAACCCTTGAGATTCTGTGAGTTTAGCTTTGGTTTGTAAACATGCACATAGATGGTACCTCAAAAAGAACAGAGAAGGATGAACCCATCTTTCCTTACCTGGCACTTACTTACTAGGCTCATCTGCACCGTGGGTGGCCA